CCCCCCCTCGCCACCATCGTGACACCCGCTTCCACCCGCCAACCCCCCACCCGGCGCTGAATATTATATTTATTATAGACACTTATTTTCCCCCCGAGCCCTTCCTTTGCCCGCCTCAGTTTCCACCCCGCCCTTCCCCCCGTGGTAGCGGGGGTCTCGCCGAGATCTTTGGGCCGTCGCAGGGGGCTGTCCTCATTAAACTCTCTTTCCCATGGGATTTCTGGTCTGGGGTCGTGTGTTTTGTTCTCTCCCCGGACGCACGAGCAGGCGGCGGCATTTCTCCGGGATCGACAGCTTGAAAGAGGATGGCGCCGAGAAGGGGCACACCACGAAGGGTCCCCTGCTTGCAGACCAGCTGTACGGATGAGGACCACGCCATGCCGGCACTCCCTCCTCCAGCCGACCGGCTGGGAGCCACAGGACTTAGGAGCCCGTCGGCCAGTTTCCTTGGGAGCCCAGGCTTGCACGGCCTTTTTATGAGCCGTCCCCCGTGCCCCGGTTTGGTTTGAGTTTCCAGCGATGGGTCCTAGGAGCAGCGTCAGTCACGTCCCCTCTTCTGGTGACCCCCGTGCCACCAGGACCCTTCAGCACAGCCTCGGGCGCAGCACGCTGGGCCGCGCCGGGCAGAACTGGCTGCCAGTGTTTTTCAGGGACTTGATCTGCAAATTGGCAGCAAAGGGAAAGGACGGTCTTAGGGGCGCTGACAAAGCCCGGCTGCTGCGTAGCTCCGGGGCCACGAGTGAGAGACGGCTCGGGGCACAGAGCCAATGCCAGTCACTGGTGCCACGGGACGTGGACAGCTCCAGCTGGATGTGGCCGCGTGGAGGAGAGCATGCACGTGTCCTCGGGGGCTTGCAGCCGGCCCGGCTGGTCATCCTGGAGTCGCAACGCCGCTGACCCGCGTCTCCCTGGCTGTTCCTTCTGGACGTTGGCGGCCGAGCCATCGCGGGGAGGCGGGGTGGGAGAAAGGGACGGCGTCGGCGAGGTGCCTGGTGACCAAGGGGCATCGAGGGCAGATGGGGGCTGTATTGGGTGGTTCTGATTTGCCTACAAACCTCCCTAGAGCCCCAGCCTTGGAGCTGCCGTCACGGCCCCCCAGGACCTCCTCGAGCCGGTCGCTGCCCAGCCTTTGCAAAACAAAACCTTTGCAAAGCCCAGTAAGGGCCCCATGCAAGGGCCTTGCAGGGGGTTGGCAGCTGCTGCCCAGGTCCCCTCCCTGCCTCTCCTCCTCCCTCTGGCCTGCTAAGGTCAGCCCTGCTGGGCACGAAGGTCACGTCCATCCCATCTGGGTAGGGGGCTGCTCCCGGGTCCCTTCTGCCAGCCCTGGGGCTGGTCCTGCCCAGCCAGGCCTGGAGTTCAGGGCCTGCATTGAGGGGCTCCCCACATTCCCCTCCATCCCGGGCAGCGAGGGGGATCACGGAGGCCTGAGCCGATATGAGCACAGGCAGGTGGCTAATGGCTATGGCGTAGGTGCCAGGGGCCGGCTGACTCAGGAGGTCCCTTCTCCAAGGAGAGGTCCTGGCACGCAGGGGCAACTCTGGGGGATGCCACATTGCTCTGGGTTCGAGGTTCACGCAGCAGCTTCAGACCTGCCACCTCCTGAGGCTAATGCCCATTGACTCAGCAGGGCTGCACGGCCAAGCATGCAACAGGGAGGCCGTGGCATCTTCTCCAGCCCTGGAGGGCTGGACAGATACTTGGTCAGGAGGGTTGATGCTGCCTGGAGCAAGGGGCTATATGAGGTGTGGCCTCGTGAGGTCCTTTCCAGCCTGACTTTCCTCTGATCCTATGAACTGAGAGGGTTTTAGTGGCTGGAACGATGCAGATCTGGTCTGAGCGGTAGGTGCCAGGTGCTGCCACATGCGGCTCTGAGGTCTCCAGGAGCTGGAACAAGGGCTTAGGGCTCATGGTAGGATGAGAGCTTGGGGCATCCATTGCAGCACAGGGAAAGGCCAGTGCTGGCTAGCAGGATGCTGTGGTCTGGATGTAACCTTTTCTCTCCCATCTGCAAACAGATGTGATTGTGAACTTGCTCCCAATTCGCATCAATTTGCTGCAACCCAGGAGATCCCCGGGCCGCGGGCTCCCCGCCATCCTGCTTGCAGAGGAAATGGAAGAACAGCTCCTCGGTGCCTGCGCCGGGCACCAGAGAGGATGCGGGCCCCCCGGTTGTGCCAGGGCACCGTGGCCCTGGACCCCGCGGCCGTTCCACCTGGCAGCATCCACCTTGGCGTTTGCGACGGTTTGGTAATCCTGTTTGCAGACCGCCCCCCGCCGTGGCAGGAGGCCAGGACACTGGCTGGGAATCCAGTCCCAAAATGCTACTTCATGACTGCCCACCCCCGTGTCTCGCTAGGGGCAGGAAGGAGGCGTTGAGGTGGGTTAACCCAAGGGTAAGTGCCTCCTTCCTCTCTGGAGCTGATCGCACACAGGGGTCCCCACTTAGCTGCCGTCTCTCCCCCCCAGCTGCGTTGGTCTGGGAGGGGGATTCATCCCTTGCACGGCTTGTAGATCCCCCAGGCACCCAGCACCAGTTCGGTGCGTGCTATGGGGGGCAGCTAGGGACCTGAGGCTGAGTCCTCCTCCAAGGAGCCTATACAGGCATTGCATTTGTCCTGGGATGAACTATTTAACTCCAGGACAAGCGCCGTTATGCAGGCATTCGCGTCCGCTGTCTCTAACCCCTAAAAGGTTGCAAATGCAATGTCTGTTCCTAGCCTTGGGGAGCTCTGGGCCTGACTTCCAAGGGCTTCAGATCCCAAAGGCCTTTGGGACTCTATTGAACATCCCAGTCTGACCCTCCTGCGGGCCCTGGCTCAGCTGCTTTTACCTTGTCTCCTCTGTATTAAGCCAAACCAAGGGAATAAGAGGACACCTCAGTGTGTGGCTATCGGCCAAGCTCCTGTGTTGGCCATTTGAAAGCCATCCCTTGCCAACTGGGTTTTCCCCTGTATTTGCTATAGGAGATAAGTGCATCTGTTGATATAGTAGGTTAGTTAATGCCAGCCCTTCTATAGTGATAGAGCTGTAGTTTCCATTAGCAACTGGTTTCTTTGCCGAGTCTCTGCGTGGGATAGCTGCACATGTGTCCACTCCTGATCTGGGTGTAGTTTCCTTTGGTGGGCGCACACACCGTGCCCAACACGCATGCTCCAGCCTGTCTGCCCAAGGGCTGGAGGGGGATACCCAGGTCCACAGCTCTACGGCCCAGCTCCATCGACCTGCGTAGTGTGGCATTTGACCTGCAAATAAGATCCAAGAGGTTAAACTACACATGTGCATGCACATGGATACACACGTGCACACTCGTGACTGAAGCCTCCATCAGCAGGGGACTGAAGCCCCTGTCTGACTTGATGCCGGATCGCTGCTGGAGCAGAGCTCTGGAGAGAAAAGCACGCAGCGCTTTCCGACTCAGGCAGGGCTGCTTCTTTCCAGGCTGCGACAATCACTCTCCCAAGGGAAGGCAGGAGTCTTTTTTTCCATGCTCTGAGCTGGGACACTGAAGGCAGCAGCGTCAGAGATCCTTCTTCCCTGGGCTGCAGTGCCCCAGGCTGGTACCCTCTGCCATCTGCCATCACGTTTCATCCATGATCTTCTTCCGTGCAGCCGGGATCGTGGCCAAAGAATTGCGCTGGGGACCTGGGGCTTTGCTAGGGACCGTGTCTATGGGGCAGGCCGGGGGCTGGGGAGATGCCGGGGGCATCGGAAGTTGAGGGCATTTTGTGGGGGAGCGGGGAGTTGGATGTGCATGCGTGTGAGACCAGCTGTACTGCTTGGACCCACCTCCCCGCTCTGCCAGGGCCCCCGCGCCTGGATGGCTGATGCTGTGCAGGGAGGAGTGGGCTCAGGTGGGTGCCCCCCTGAGCTGGGAGAGCTCAGATCATGCAGGGGTGATGGGGAGCCCTCCTCAAAGCCCAGGATGAGTTCCCGGCTGCAGGGAGCATCCTCTCCTCCCTGGCACCCTTAGTCCAGGCCTTGCCCCCTGCCACGTGGGAGTCGGCCCTGCAGGGACTGCCGTCTTCATGCCATCAGGGGAGTGTGGAGAAAGCAGGAGACCGGGGTGCCCTGTGCAGAGGCACCTTGGCCAGCCTGCAGCGCCTTTCCCCCGCAGAGTATGTACAGGGCGGTTCTATTCTGCACCCCCGTCTCTGCCCTTCCTGCTGCCCACCCGCGCGTCTGGCTCTGGCAAGCCGCTCCGGGCCCCATCCCCTCATTTGTAACATCCCAGAACCAAGCAAATAAATTGTGTGAACAACCAGCCCGACACCTCCGCCCGCTGCTTTGGCATTGACACCCCCTGCCTACCCCAGCCCTGGGCCCCCGCACACGCCATCGCCTCTCCAGCCAGCGCCTGGAGCCCTCAGCACCCAGGGAGAGGGACGGAGGGGCCTGTTCGAGCTGGAGGTGGGTGGATGCGTGGGGATGTTTAGACAGATTTAGAAGCATCCCCAGGGGGTGTAGAGGATGGCTCAGTGGGTGGACGGGTCGATAGAGGGTACGTAGGGTGGGAGAGATGGATAGATAGAGGGCGTGAGGGGATAGGTCAGAGACAGACACAGGAGTGCTTGGATGGATGGATAGATGGAGGGTATATGGATGGATAGAGGGATAGAAAGGGTGTGTGGGGATGGATGGATGGATGGATGGATGGAAAGGGGGGTGGATAGATGGATGGATGGATGGATGGAAAGGCGGGATGGATGGATGGATGGAAAGGGGATGGATGGGTGGGTGGGTGGATGGATGGAAAGGGCTTGTGCGGATGGATGGATGGATGGGTGGGTGGGTGGGTGGACAGGTGGATGGAAAGAAGGGGTGTGTGAGGAGGGAGAGCGATGCCATCTGGAGATGGATTCCAAACCATGCCCTCTCCTTTGAACCGAGGCTTTCCCCAGGCCCCCCAGACTGCCTGTCCCCGTCTTGACCCACCTAGAAGGTAACAGCCTACTGCTGCTACCTGCCAGGAGGGCTGCTCCACTGCCTGGGCTGGCAGGATCTCCAGGGGGCTGGTGCCTGGGACTTGGTCCTGAGCGATTGGGGTCTTTCCTAAGACGGCCTCAGGAGGGGAAGGGCCTGTCCCGTCCCTGCCTCCACCCGCCCCGGGGCTGCCCAGCGCCTGGCTCTGCCCTGGTGGTTTTCCTGGGAGCCGGGAGGCTGCTGCCTCGTGACCGTGCCAAACGCTCCAGGGTGGGGGGGAGGAGATGATAGGACAATACTGGCTTTAATCCCTCTGTGCCCTGGCGCCTGCCCGAAAACAGGAGGATGTCTCTGCTAGCAGGAGCAGCCCCATCCCCCCGCATGCTCAGCCGTCGCTGGCATCTCCAGGGGCCGGGGGCTCCAGGCACAGGGGCAGTCCATGCCGGGGGAGCACAGTGCAGGGGCTGGGGGCAAAGCCAATAGGGCTGGTGGCCGAGGCACTACTCAGGCCCTGCGAGGGGGAGTGGAGGTTCCCCGCCGCCTGCTCCTTCCCCCATGCTGGGCTGTGAAAGCACTGCCACGCTGCACCCCAGAAGCAGCTGCATTTCAGCAGCAGCATAAGAAAGTTTGGAGCTATGAACTAACATAACCGGCATGGGGTCTGGAGGCTACCCCGCCCCTCCCCGAGCTCCCTGGGCACAAAGCGCTGCGACCAGATCTGCGGGTCTCGTTAGGCCATGGAGCCATGGCGTGGCAGGGAATCTCCTTGCGGTACAGGGCCTATGACACACACACACACGCATGCCGATGGGACCCCATATTCTGGGGCCTCGGCTCCAGCTGCCCTGGGGGCGCTGCTCCCTGCTGCGTCTGGCTTGGCCCAGGGGGGCAGGGAAGGGGAGGGGGTGCTGCTGTCGGCACCGACAAAGGCTTTCCCCAGCTCAGCAACATTCCCGCGCTGCCCCGTCAGCACCCCGTGCCCATTGTGTGCCCGGGCCGCCGTGCCCCCGTCGGCTCCCGCGCCTCTGCCCGGCCGCCTGCCATTGTTGCCCGCAAATCCCAGTAAAGCCCGGCTTTAGCCCACAGATGCTGCAGAGCGCTGGGCCCGCGGATGCCGATCCGGGGCCCCGGGGCTGTGATCCTGGACGCGGAGGAGTCCCCCCGCCCCCCTCTGCCCCGATGGGAGTGCCAGGAGATGGGTGCCTACCGCAGGTGAGTGAGGCGAGGCTGGGGGCAGTGGGTGACCCAGCCTGGGTGCGTTCCCTCTGTCCTACCCCGGGTACTGCTGGGCTGGGGCCGGAGGGGCAGGATCCTGGAGAGTTTCCAAAGCATCTCTGTGCCCCCCGGCCCAGCCTGCAGCTTGAGCCCCCTCCGAGCTCCAGCTTGAGGAGCTCCCGGGGGTCCCAGCAGGCAGCCCTGCCCCCATAAGGTGCAAGGGGGCCAGGCAGTGGCACCCAGGGGTGGTCGTGCTCCTCTGGGCACAGGCCTGGCCTCTCGGTTCATGCCCTGGGGCCAGTGGAAGAAGCTGAAGCCCCTAACCCAGTTATCTGCAGGGGGGAGGGAGAAAAGGGGGCACCCCTCCCCAAACCCAGATCTCTGCATTGGGTTGGAGGCTGTGGGCATCGCAGGGGGAGCCCAGCACAGAGCTGGGGCTCGCCTCCTTGTCACCCCCTCAGTCCAGGAAGCACCGGGGTGTGTGGCACGGCGGCTGGATGGGGCATCGGCCAGGCCCCGAGACACCTCAATTCAAGCACAGGGTCACCGAGTCGCTGGGAAGTGCTGTCGCCTCCCCGTGCCTCAGTTTCCCCCCATCAGACGGCAGCTGTTGACGTGGGGCAGGGCTTGACCAGGGACAGAGAAGGGTTTGCGGCTGCCGCTGAATCCTGCCTCCGCAGCACAATCCCGAGGTCCCCCCCCGGCTGCTGGCTCCGGGCTGTGGCCGAGAGCCCTGGAAAAGGGCAGGGCCGTGGCCTGGCGGCTTCTAGAACGAGCCTGCCCGTTCCCTGCCGCTCCCTCCCCTGTCCTGCTGCCTCGGCGCTTCCTGCCGGGAACGCCCCACGGGGCCTGGGCGCCAGCACTGGGTGCCAGGAGCCCCTGGCACACAGGAGGCCCCATCCTGCCCTCGATTCGGGGGTCCTGGGGTCATAGCGGTGGTCCTGGGCCTCGTTTGGTGGCTCTGGGTGTGGGAGGCTGGAAGCCCCTGAGCTGGCCACAGGCTCTCTTTGCTTTTGCTTTCCCTGCTCTGGAGTTTGTGCCCCCCTGAGCAGGGGCTGGGCAGCCCAGGGGGTGGCAGGGCTGTTGTCAGGGATGCCCAGAGCCGGCAGCAGGGCCAGGCAGGGTCCCATCAGCACGGGACAGGCCCTTTGCAGCCATGCACCCCCCTGCTCCCCCCATCTGGGAGCCTCACCAGCATCTGTCGGTGCTGGTACCCTCTAATCCTGACTTGCGGCTACCCCACACCGTCCCCTTCCCAGATCCGCCACGGCTCTGCCTCCCTGACCGGCAGCCTCTGGCTCTGGGGTGAGAGCGCCCCGGATGCCCCAGCCCTGTTCATCCCCGTGCTGCCCTGCACTGGACCTGCACCCTCACCTGGAGGTTTCCTTGCCCCCTCCATGCACCCCAGCCCACAGCAGCCCCTCTCCAGAAACACATGGGCTCAGCTGGACTGTGGCCAGCCACACAACCACGCAAAAAGGGCAGAGATAACACGCTGCTCCCCCAAGGCTGGGGTCTGGGGCACCCCCTGCCCGGGGCAGCAGGAGGAGAGGGGTATGGTACCTGCTTGCCCGCAGCGAGCCCCCTGTCCCGGTCCACCCCCAATGCAGCTGGTGGGCTACAGGGGGTCGAACAGCCAATGCAAGCAGGTCGCTGGGGCTATCGTGCCCGCTTTGCGGGCCAAACTCGAGCTCGGGGCAGACGCCCATCCACAGCAGCTGCAGGGATCTCAGTGCCACGCAGGGCTATGCTCAGCCCCAGCCCCGCTCTCTTGCTTCCCCAGGTGCGGCTGGCTCCCTGCCACGCCAGGCAGGGCGTGGAGCAAGGTGCCCGCGCCACCCCCATTGGTTCCCGCCCCGGCAGGTGTCACCGCTGCCGCACAGGGAATATATTTAAACCCTCCTGCTCCCTTCCTCCCCACCCAGCCCCGGGCGCTGATGGATCGGGGTAGCTGGCCGGAGACGGACGGACGGACGGCTTGATGCCCAGCCGGCCTGCATCCTCCCTGCCGCTGGGCAGCGTGCTGGGCACGGACGGCAGCTCCAGGAGCTGTGCCCCTCAAGGGAAGATGTTCAAGTACACCCCGCCCTGGCAGGTCCTCTGTGCCACCCTGGAGCCCCGGGCACAGGTAAGAGCACTGGCGCCCAGTCCGTCCCCGGTCTTGGGTGGTGGCTGCATGGCCCGGGGAGGAAAGCAGGGAGCTGGGAGGCAGCGTGGCCTAGCAGGCAGAGCAGGCAGGACTCCTGGCCTCCACCCCCGGCTCTAGGGTGCTGCCACAGCGGGAGCTGCAGCAAACTCGCGCTTGTCTCCCCCTGCGTGCATGACCCCGGGGAAGTAGACTGGGCTGGTTGAACGGCTCTTCCCTCCCCGCCTGACACTTGTCAGGGCAAGTTGCCGGCACAGGGCGGTGGCCGTGCCCTTCCCGGCTGCTGCCCTGCATGTGCCCTCTGCCCCACGGCTAGTCTGGCAAAGCCCCGCTCAGCCGTGGCCGCGTCCTGGACAGCCCAGCAGGCTCATCCCTGGCTTCTCCCTGCACCCACACGCCCGGCAGCTGCTGATCAGGAATGAGCGCCGTGCACCAGGAAAGCAGCACGTGCCGGGAGCGCGGCCGCGCGGCATTGCTATCTCTATAGGGAGATGGCACCACCAGGAAGTCGGTGGGAGCCTGGGGATGAGGTGCTCGGCTCTAGCAGGAAGAGGTGGCGATGGGCTCTGCTTGCGGCAGGTGGTGGCAGGCTCAGGGTCCTGCTATGGACCCCCTTGGCACTGCCCTTGTCCAGGTGATTGGGGGGGGGGTCGGTCTCTACACCGAGCAGAGGGGCACTGCCTATGGCTGGGGAAAGATCTGTCCTCTCCTTTCTCTTCTTGCTCTGGCTCTCGGAGGGGCCACATTGGCAGCCCCGGTGGCCCTCACACGGGCAGGGGAGGGCAGATGCCCCGCGGATGGCAGGAGCCTGGGGGCAGCTGGCGGCTGAGTGCCCGAGGTGCTCCACTCTGCCGCGGGGCAGGGCTGGGAGCGGAGATGCAGTGACGTTGCTTCCAGTTATGCCAGAACAAACCCTGGGGGTGGCAGGACAGCTGGGAGAGGAGGCATGCTGCCCGGGGAGGGGCCCAGCGGCATGCAGGAGGATGCATGTCCCCGCAACCACCGTATTTGCTCAGGCCGGCTCCTGCCCTCGCGTCACCCTCCACGTCCCCTGGAATGTGCTTCCTCCTCAGCCGCCGGCTGACGTAGGTACCACGCTGGGTGCAGGGGCCGGGTCTGGCATCTGGTTCCCCCAGCTGCAAAGAGCTGCACGGATACCTTGGCCCCCCGCCTGGCATGTCAGCAAGCTCAGGCTCGGGCGCTGGTGACCTGATCCCTCCTCGGCACGGACCGAGGCACCGAGAGAAGCCCAGAGCCACTGACTGTGGCTGAGGTGGGAGAAAACCCCAGGCGTCCTGGCTCCCCAGCCCACGTGCTCCACCCGGAGGTGGCCGACCTGGGGCACGTATGCCACAAGTGGCACGAGCAGCCTCCATGCGTGGTACACCGCGGATCGAAGAGGGGGCAGGCAGCACAGGGGCAGATGTGTTCCCTCTGTCCTACCCCTGGTACTGCTGGCCTGGCGCCGGAGGGGCAGGATCCTGGTGGGGCAGGATCCCAGAGAGTTTCCAAAGCATCTCTGTGCCCCCCAGCCCAGCCCGCAGCTTGAGCCCCCTCTGCAGGGAGCAGAAAGCAGAGCAGCTGAGCACGTAGGGAGCAGAAAGCAGAGCAACCAATTGGGCAGGGAGCAGAAAGCAGAGCGGTGGACCAGGCAGGGCAAGCAGCCTGGAGCATCACTCAAGGAGGCCGTAGGGTTATTCTGTGACACACCAGCCCACACGGTTGGCTCCCATGGCAGTCGACCACCTTCCCCCAAGGTCAGGGTTGGTGTCCCAGGGCTCCGGCGGGGTTCACACCCGGGGGTCTGCCTGGGAGCTGGACAAGGCGGTTGCGGCCGACAAGCATTGGCCGTCCTCGAGGGCAGGCAGGGCTCCGAGCCGCGGTGCCACGTGCTGGGTGGGTCGCACCTGCAGCCGAGGGGGTCAACGCAGGTGGGCAGAGCTCAGCGCTGGGGGGGGCTGGGCCCTGCCAGGGGCCACGGCAGGTTCTCGGAGGGAGGCAGGGACACGGCAGGTCAGTGCCCTCGGCTCCATCAGCTGCGGTGGAGCGAGAGCCGGGGAGTTGCTGGAATTCTGCCACGGACTCGGGGCCGGAGCTTATCAGGGCCCCGCAGCCCAGCGCAGGCCTCCCTCCTGCTCCCCCGCCCAGCCCGGCGTGCCCGGCGCGCAAACAACCAACCGCTCACACACACCGCAGGCCCCGCCAGGCCACCATGGGCACCAGGGAGCCCCACGCCGAAGCCCTCCTGCCACCGTGAGTGTGCCAAGCTGGGAGGGGCGGGGGAGGCTTCGCTGTGGTTTGAACGTCCTGGTTAGGATTAACCGTAGAGCAGGGCAGGCGTGTGCTGGTGAGCAGCAGCCCTGTCTTGGGGCGGCCGTGTTGGTGTGCACGCGTGCTGGCCTCTGTGCATGCATACATGTATGTGCGTCTCTGCAAAGCACGTGGGTGTGCATGTGAGGGGCCTGTGTGTGTGTGTAAGGTGCATGGGAGGGGTTTGCAGGTGTGCGTGCATGTGTGTAGGGGGTGCACACGTAGGGCTGTGTGGTCTGTCCAGTGTCCAGGCAGCCCAGGAGAGCCCAGATAGCTATAACCCAGCGGGCCGGGCCAGCATCCGGGTGCTAGGGCTGGGCTGTGACTTCTTGCTCTGTCCCAAGACCCTGTGCAGCTTCCCAAAGCACTCAGGCCCCCACCAGATCCCGCCCTCAGACCCCACAGGCCCTGCACAAACCATGCACTTTGGCCTCCTGCCTCCTGGGAGATGCCTGGGGCAGGACCAGCCCCTCCAGACAGAGCAGCTCCTGCAGCCCCCACACCCTGGGAGGGCTGGGAAGCCCCCCAGGTGGAGGAGGGGCTCAGGCAGAGGACAGAGAACCAGGACTCCTGGGTTTCTGGCTCAGGGACGGGGGGGTCCCTGCACCTCTTTCTTTCCTGTCCCCACCAGGAGAGGAGCGGGGGCCCTTCAATGCATTGCTTGGCTTCAATATTCCTCAAAGTCCTCAGGCACGTTGGCTCCTATGTGATTTAGGGGCTTTGGAGCACATTCCCTCCTGCCCGGCCTCAGGGCTGGGAGTCCCTTGGGGCGGCTGGACTGTGCAACTGCCCCTCAGCGGCCCCCTGCTAACAGCTGCAGACGGCGAACAGCATTCCCCAAGAGCCAGCCACTCCCAGCCGGGACCCTTGACCCCCGGCAGGAGATAAGCAGCTGGCAAGAGGCCTCCGAGCTCCGTGCAGCAGGGGCCATAAAGGAATGATGATTAACTGTAGGTATGCGACGAGCGGGAATACCCACACCCAGCTCTGAGCAAAGGGATTCCTGTCCTCGAAAGCCCCATTTTTCCGGGGTCAGTGGACCCGTCCCAGCCTGCCCAGTGCCCCCCCCTCCACTGGCTGCACCGAGAAAAGGCAGCTCCGCAGCCTTTTCACCGGCTGGCTGCACGGCCTGGGCCGTTCTCAGAGCCTGGGATAGCTCCAGGTACTGGCTGCTCAAGGGTTATGCTGGGTTTCAGCCTCCTTGTTGAATGATTGAATGAGAAAGATGGGGTCTGTTAGTGGGATTGGGGTCCTGGGAACCAGGACGCCTGGATCCTAGGCTCCGTTGTGGGTGGGATCAATGGATGGGAACTCAGCGAGGAGGGGCCAGCGGTTACAGCATGAGGCTGTGATCTCTCTCCCAGGCCACCTGGCTGAAGCTGGGACGTGGCGGCTAGGCTGGAAGGTCTCCCCTGCTGCTCTCCCCCTCCCTGGCCTGGCACCCAGGTCTGTAACACGACCTATTTCAGCTGACAGCTGAGCCAGTGAATGCCAAGGTCAGGGCTGGAATTTACTCCTGTTTTGCCTGATACTTGGGGTAAAGTCCGCTCAGTTTTATAAGCCACAAAACTCCATTTATGGTCCCTGTCCTCGCAGTGATGTCAGGAGCGGGAACCCAGGGCCGCCCTTCCCCCAAGTCCATCAAGGAGGCAGAA